GACAGCCTCTCCGGAGTCGTCATATCTTGCATGAATGATTATTTCCCCCCTCCCTTCTTTTAATAACATTTACTTTCTGATTGAAGGTGCACTTGGCAGGCAGAAAGTAATACTCCCAATTTTACAAAGGTGCACTTTATATCAACTCCTGACACTAATACAGACTCAAACTCGGAGGAATTCATTTGATATTTCATCAGGAGGCTGACATACTTTTATCTGTCAGGCTAATTATGTTTGACATGTTTTTCATGCTCAGAGCAAACAAAATCCAGGTTTTTTTTTTTTTTTTTGTGGCCTCCCAGCGATCTTGTGACCCAGATAGGTGATGTGATTATTGGAGATCTGGAGCAGGATGTCAAGTGGCTGCTCCGAGGAGGGCCGATTACTAGGATTTTTTGCTGATGTCGAGATAAGCCTCAGCCTCTCTTTCCTGCTCCGTCTGGTAGTCGCTCAGTCTAACCTCACGTTCAGTTAAAACTGTCACACATTCCAGTCCGGAGGAAGACGCGCACAATCCCGTAATGTGTTGGAACAATAGCCGGAGTCTGCTGAGGTCAAGAGACGTTTATTTGCTTTCTCCAAGAATTGAATCATTACTACAATTTGGCTGGCACAAGAGCAAAGAGCAGTTTATTGTTTATCCTTGCCAGTGCCTTTGAAATGGATCCGGACTTGTTGCTCTCATTTATTAGAAGTTCTCGATCAGCTGCATTCTTAGAAACACTGTTGGCAAAACACGATGCTAAATAAGCAGGCCGCCAATCCTGTAATAAACTGAGCTGAACTCGCTGTCGGCCAAACGGTTACGATTTCACACAGTTTTCAAATGTCACTTGTCAAAGCAAGTATACACTCACATATTTTAAGGCTCCAACAATATCAAATCTGTTTGAATTTGGTGTTTCATTTCAAGAATAAGAACGGACATGTCTAGATAAACCTATTATGACACTGATAAATTACAGATTGTTTTTTTTTGTTATGCTAATAATGTGGATGTGGGACAAGCAAATGTCAGCCTGTTTCGTCCCCTCTTACAAAAACTTTAGGTTTCTGGCAACGGTTGCCGTTAACGTTTGGCAATGTTGCTAGAAATCTGCAGCAAGATCATACTTTTATATGTGAATTTAATTTATGGCCCACTGGGGAGAACATCTGGCAAACTTGGTGGAAAACCTGTGTCGTGTTTGTTCAGGAGTGTTTATGTATTTGCTTTTTTGCATCATAGGTTTTAAAAAACACACCATACTTCATTCTAACATGCTGTAATTCCCCCTTGTCTTGGCTCTGATTTCAGGTTTTTAAAAAATCTTGTCTGTGATGGGAGATTTTAGCCGATCATAGAGCTTTGTCCCCACAAGAAGAGAAGATTTAAACAGCAGTAATGTCTGCTTTTAGAACAGGATGTATTGTGATGTACTCATGCTAGGATTAAGCGTACCTAATTTGAAAAAAAAAGGGTTTGATATGGCAACAATATTCTTATAAAGCTATGCTGCAGAATGGCGGCGTGCACGGATGCAGCGCCCCCTTTAGGAGACAGCGAGAGTACGTTTAGTGTTTTGCCTATCCCAGACGTTCATTCTGCAAAACTTATTAACTAATACTAATTAAATGATCCTGAAGAAACACTCTCTCATCTTGCCTGTATTACTGTGTATGTACAGCAAAATGACAATACACTTGATTTTTTTCCCCCAACATTATGTTTATTTGTGATTTAGGTCATTTTTAAATGACATCTAAAAGAACATCCTCTCAGACACAAAATGCATGTTTACCAAACAGTACACTAATAAACTTGATTTGATTTGAATGGTCTGGCTGCACCTTATTATCATTCTATAAGGGGCTGTATGTATTTCTCTAAACCAATCACGATCATCTTAGATGGAGCTCGGCCGAGGATGAAGCAATGGTGTCCTCTCAAAATAATGACAGAGGAATTGTTTTGATGGAACATTTGCAAAATATAAAATCGGTAAAAAGCTGACAAGGCAGCCTTACTGCAGAATCCAAATATTCAAAATCCTTGAACTTTTCAGTGTGGCTTGTTCCTTGCCTGGGGGTTGTTGCTGTTGTTTCCTGTAGCGAAGTGGATTTTGAAAACAGAAACATGTAGAACCAGCCTCCAGTACAGAGATGCCCAGTGTGTACATGTTTACCTGATTCTGCGTTTTACTGTGCGCCTACTTGAGGATGAACTTGCCTTGATTTTGCCTTAAAATGATCCATAATGTAATAAGAGCTTAGTCTATCATGTAACACAGATATTTTGCATGGAGGGGAAGCGTTTTGCTGTCATTTACGCCTCCGGCTAAGCATCTAAGATGCATAGCCTTGAGTTTGACCTTGACCATTCATCCAAGGTCAAATGTTACATAACCAATATGGGTTTCTATCTGATTGTAATAAGGAACTATTTCTCTATCTTACACCTTTTCCAAGTTATAATGGATTAAAAATTTCTGATGACCTTCAGTGTGACCTTGACCTTTATCTCAAGGTCATATGTTACATCACCAGTTTATAGGCCTCCAATGTAAACTTATGTCATTTTGCAGAGCTGTTGTTGGGAAATGCGACCTGTGACCTCTGTAGCGGTCACCGATGCCAAAATCTAATCCATCCAAGAAGGGACCATACCGAGGTCACGAATGAAGTTTCAGGTTCAAGCTCCTCTCCTGTAAAACGCTAGACTGTTAACAGACAAAACAAAAACAAACACATGGGCACGATTACTCTATAGTTGCCCATCGATGGGCAAATATAAAAAGCAAGCGAAGGAGAAAATGGAATAAACTGCACGACCAATGTCAAGCCTATCCCCACAGTCTACATCTCGGGAGTCAGACGATGGCACTGCCAATCAGTATTACTCCCAGTGGTCACCTGTTGTGTTACAGTTTTAAAAAAACCCTCAAGTGTAGCCTCCCAGATCTGCTGGCAGGACTTTAGTCTGTCTGGAATCAAAAATAAATAAATCTAATCTCGCTGATTTTGTTTGTTGGATCGTATTAGCATCATCGTGTAAGCAGCCAACTCCGCGAACCCTCAGATCATCTTGATTTTCTGCTGTTACGTCTCCGACAACAACGCTGTGAGACGAGCGCCGGGACAGATGCAGACGTAACAAGGGGCTGAAAGCTCAGACAAATGGTGTGTCTTTGCTGTAATTAGGGTCAGATTAGTGAGGTTTATAAAGAGACTGCTGGCCTTCCCCTGACAGTCACCAGAATTTATAGAGTGTTAATTTAACCAGAGACAATTAGTTTACTATAAAAATATGCAACAAACCCGCCAGAATCATCGGCGGCGGCCAGTGACAGCTTTATCATTGTTAAACTTTACAGTCCATAGTTTCTGAAAAGTAGGGCAGCTGTCGTTTCCAGATTAAATAAACTGTTTCTCCCAACGATTCGGGCTTTTTTAGCAACGTGCATTTAGTGGTGTGAGGATGGTGGTAAAGCTAGACTTTAATTTTTATTTTTCCTGGTTGGAATGTTGTGTTTCTCACTCTGGTGCATGACAGGAGTCTGATCCCGCCGTGGTCCCGGCTTTTGTAGTCTAGGATGAGTGAGTCTTAAGTGAAGGGCTCTGGTAACGACCACTTAAAAGAGGCTTCAGATAGAAGCTGTCATTATTTCCCTATAAGGAGACAGAGGGCACTGCTAGGTGAGGCCACACACACTTAGGAAAATTTCTAGAGGAGATTTTTGTTTTTGCCAGGATTTGAATATTAAATGACATCGGTACCATTCAGGAGCTCGTGTAGATGCAGCACACGACATTAGCTGAGCAGGCACGTCTGTTTTGCTTATTAACAAGCATTCATTCGTCTCAACATGCTGGCTCAACTCTCCTGAACTCCCCCTCCTGCCCCGGGTTTAACTGAGATTACATCCTATCATAAATGTGTCATAACAGATTTAGCAACTTGATGTTTAAGTTCATAATTCCTGCTCGGTCCCGCTGTCTGCAGCAACCTACCATTTCGCCGTACGCAAGTCCCTATTGAGATGTCGACATTTTATAAAATATCCATCAATTTCACCGTTATTAGATCATACGCACGCCCGCCCGCCTGCCCGCCATCCAGACTAACCGACGGAGATGCAGATTTCAACCGCACGGCGCTGGACTGACAATCCAAAACAGTCCTGCGGTTGGCAACATCCTCTCAGACCCAACAATTTTTTTTGACCTAGCTGCTGTTTTTATAGACTTATTGTGTATTTTTAGGGGGTCAAAATGCTCACGCAGGTCACTGACTGGTCAGCGTCTGCAGCAGTTTTTTTTTCCGTCTAAGAAATAAATGGCGGGCGGAGTGGGGAAGAACCCTTTTCAGCACCTACTGTACTTCCATCTGCAGAAGCTATTCCTTCATTGTGACCTCAGCATCGGCGCACTACTCTAAAAAAAATGTGTAAAGAACCTGACATCTTAATCTGTGTCATTTGGATCTAATGACTTTAATTGGAATAGTTGTCGTCGCCGTTGACCGAGGCCCAAAGAAAAAGATCCACGCTGCGGTCGGAAAGGCAAACTTCTCACTTATCGGCTGTCCCTTGATGGTCCTCCAGGCGCGACTCTCCTATTTCCTCCTGACTCGTTTTAAACGTTTGCCTTGGATGCAGCCCGCGGTTCATTGTGTCGACCCGGTGCACGTGTACGCCATAAATGCGTGATTTATGTTGGACCCCATGTGGACCATAGCTGAGGTATTGCGCTTTCTCAGGTCTTATAATGAGAACCCGATTTCGCTCTGCGCTCCCCGTCAAAAGTCGGTAAGAACCGTCGGTTTATATTCATCTCCGCGTCTTTAGGAGTCCTGGAGGAATGGAAAGCTTCACATAAATTAATTGTTGCGAACTGTTGTATAGTTTTAAATGCTTCCAAGTGACCTCCTCGAGCTGCGAGTGCAGCTCTCGAAGGGCGCCCGTGTGAAATGAGTTGTTTCTGCCCCGTGAGAACCAATCACGTCTGTTGTGTGTCAGGGCCCTGGATCGAGGGTTGGCTGGAAGTGCATTGGGGACCTGCAGCCAGGAGAGAAGGTCCTGCAGGATATAAAGGAGAGGAGAGGGCAGGAGAGGCGGCTCAGAGAGATCCAACAGCAGCTGGAGATCCTGGGCCAGGGCCAGGAGATGACTGTGAGTTCAAAGCGGCGATGTTCATTTACACGCACACACACAGGCAGCAGAACACATGCTCGTATTCACAGAAGTACTTACATCCACTCTGTGTCTGTGTAACACCGCTCAGGGTTCATCTGTAGACATGTGTGTGACAAATTATTACAAGCACACAGCTCATTCTCTGTCATTCTCACAGGGGGGACGATGAACTCACAATATTCGTGTCTCTGCAGGCCCATATTTTTTCCTTATTTCTTACATGTTTTTTCTTCTCTTCCTTTGCATCCCTTCACAGTTCACAGCTTCATGTAAAATGGATGTTTTGATGTTATTGGTTTTTCTTAGTGCGCAGTTAAATTTCTTCCTCTGCTCTTCTTTGTACTTTGGGTTGATCTGAGGACGGAGACGCTCGTGTTTTCCACTAATAACCTTTTTTATCCTTCGCTGTGTTTCATTGCTTTCTAGCATTCTTCACGGAGATTCGATGTCCTCGCTTCGCCGCGTTCCCTAGAAACCGTTTATTTAGCCACGTCTGGTTTTAGGAGCCTCTGCAGAGTTACAACCAGGCAACTGTCACTCTTTCTCCGAACTCCGTAGCTAAAGGCGCAACACAAGAATGTTCACGAACAAAGGTGGACGGGCCTGATTTCTGCTTTCTCTGACTCTGAAGACTTCAGGTTCTGTGTGCAAAGTCAGGAACAACATTACAAATAAATTTAGTGCTTTGACTTTGTCATTGTTTGAACAGATAGCTTCTCCTGGTCCTGCGACTCCCCGTTAGCTTCTTCCCAGTCAGTGGAACCCAAATTTGACTTTGGCATCAGTTCTCACACTGATGAACCGCAACATGATGCATATATGCCTAATTTAAACATAAAAGATCGCCTTTTCTGCGCGGTAATAAAAGCGCTAAGTGGCAGCCACACCCGTACATCACAAGACATCATGCCATGCAACGGAGGCCTAATTTGGGGGAGACAAATGGAATTTTTGGCTAATTAGGCCGAGCTCCGTTTGAGGAAACTGCTCTTTCATGATGATCACAAAACATCAAACCCACCAGCCTCTTAACTGCTGCTGCTGAAACCCACTCTGTGCATTTAGCCCGTGTGTCACTGCGATTTATATAGTGTCGCTAAGGGACTTCAATGTAAACAGCACGCTCGCGGCGTGTATTCTTAGTGCCACCGGGCTTGTTATGCGGTTAGCAGAGATTTATTTGTGCAGAATTTGTCTGGGAGGGCATTCTTAAACAGCCTCACACAGCTGGAGTATTCTCATAAAGTTGATTTGTACGGCATCCATAACTCAAACGCTCTCACACAGTGTTTTCGCACCTGAAGTGTGGATCAGCTACGTAGAGTCTGTGCATAGTTGTCTGTTTGTCTGAGATATTAGAGCGTGACAACTTCGAGCAGATCAGGGCCTGTGTCTATCAAACTTTGAGTTACGCTTTTAAGAAAGTGCCAACAAGACTAAGAAAAGGTTTCCTACGTGTGAACGATGAGACACACTGTTCTGAATAACAAATTGCTACCAGGAGCAACTCTTAGACGATCACATGATTGATCACTTGTACGCCCAGAGAAGGACTAGCCAATCAGAGGACAAAGGTTATGATTTAAAGTTGTTTTGGGTTTTTTTTTGGTGAGGGAAACGACACACAAGTATCCAGAGTAAGTTGAAGCCATGATCAGAGCTGAGCCAAGAAAAGGAGCTTCCTTTCTTATCTCCTTTAGCATAGAATACACTGGACTAGATCATACTGGCAGCAACATTAAAGCAACACACCATCCGCCATTCATGGAGCACATTCATGTATTTTGTCATGTTACACACCAAAAGCTTGTGTCAGCCATAACAGCCTCGAAGCACAATCAAGTCAAATCTTTAAGGTGTTTGTTGAGTTGTGTGTTTGTTCTATTATGCACAAAAATCAGATCAGAATCAGCATATTAACCGTAACACAGAAGTTGGTCTTCTGAGGTTTTTATTCAGCATTGGTTAAAATGTAAGAATAATATGAACATTAGTAGATTTGACATGTAATGCCTGTTGGACAAATTAACAACGACTTTCATACAATGACCCTAAAAACTGGGATTTATGTCAGTGTTAGTGGACATGTTAGAGGGTGAGACAACATTCCTAATTCCCTTAACCTCTTCATTTCATTTTTGTGACTCACAGCCTTTATTCCTGTTTAATTTACCAACAACCTTGGCAAGGAAGTTAGATTTTTGACAGAGATGTCCACGTTTCTATAGCCTACATGGAACAACTTCATATCCATTGGGTGGAGTATCTAGTCGTAGTCCATCTGCACCTTTTCCATTTAACCTTTTCAGACCAACATTAACAACATCCACATACTTAGATCGTTGTAGCACTGCAGCTGTATATAAAATACAGAATAACTAATGCATATATAATACATAAGCATTACTGAGAATTCAAGTGCAATACTCAATAAAGGAGAAAGAAAATAAACAAAACAGAAAAGATCTGATATAAACATAATAATGCACAAACACACATATGTCAACTTATATCTAGATTGAGAAGGAACAAAAGCAAAAGCTTGTCTAGGTCTGTCCCAACAAACTAACAAACAAATAAACCAAAATAAGAAAATCAAGACTGAGAACAATTTATACATCTTCACCCATCATGAAAGCAATGCCACCAAACATCCCTTGTGCCAAATCATTACACAACATCCACCTAAAATAAAAGACCAACAGCAGCAGAATATCCACTGTTTTGTGTCCTACATTGTAGAAGTGACGACAGGTTGTCTGCTCTCTGTGTGTTTGATTGATTCCAGCGTCTGATGTTAAGAATTTAAGCGTTAGTTTTGAGATCTACCTGAGTTCCTTTTTTTTTTTTGTTGCAGTGATTTATTTAAGCGAAAGCTGTGTCGACTTGGATTCAGATCTGAGTCTTCTCGAGAATTTTGTGCGTCATCTCAGCTTCTCCTGTCTTTCAATCCAAACACGTCCCCTTCCAGAAAAACTCCCCTCTTTGCCAAAGAAAAAAAATCTCTCCTCTCACCTTTGATTTTTGTAGTTTTCATTGTTAATAATATTTGCTTGTGCAGCAGGGCCTTGGCCTTCCCTGCACAAACTCATGATTTCTACGTCTGCCATTGTTTTGTGTTAATGATACATTTCTTTAGAAACCCGGTAAAATGAACATTTACGGAAGGAGGAGATAAGACAAATTCAACAGGGTTATTTTCTGTGTTATTAGACAGCTGATAATGTGCTAGTTTTTTCCTGCAAGCTCATTTGGCTGCAGGCCTACATCAACTGCAACGGGAAGGACAGTCCCTGCATTTACTGTAAAGCGGGACAGTTCCAGCATTACAGACTTGCTCTAATCAGGCCAACGCTATCAATCATGTTTGGTCTCTTACATTAGCCAGTACAGTGTTCTGTAGTGTGATTTAACTCTAAAGTAAAAAAAACAAAAACTTGTCACCAGATTTCTTCTAGAAGACGTTGAGCAGAGCGGGGCGTTGCATGAACACACATCATCTCAGGGTTGTGACGGATGCCCAGCCGCCGTTTCAAGCCACAGCTGGCCTGAATATGTTAGGCTCATTGTTCAGGTGCTGCCAACTCTGCAGTTTCACTGCTTTCATTTTCCATAGAATGCTGGCCGGGTTTACAAGGAGAGACGAGCGACGGTGAAACAGGATTTTCTCTCTCTCAGCATCTTTCATCGCCTCCTCGGCTTCGTTGCATCCAGCTTGTCACCTGTTTGCTTCAGTTCTCCTCTCCTGAAATGAAGACCGTCTGAGAAAAGGTTTCTCAGCAGCGGTCTCTGCTTTTTCTGCGTCATTGCTAATCAGGTGATCCCACTCGTGTGCGTAGATTTTATATAACTGGCATTCATGATGAGTGAACTGGCAGCATTAAACCGCTCTCTGTGCACAGTTGTCTTGACTGCAGGACCTAAAAGTGCTGATGTGAAACTTCAAACATTTGAATTTTCACGAATTTTGCTGTGACGATGCTGCAGCTATCCATAGAAAATGTGACCAATTTCTGGTTTTGGCGATATTTGTGGAAACAGTACCTGAGTATCTGATTGCATTTAACCTGGTTTTCACATGGTTTCATTTGTTGAGCACATCTTAGCCTGTGCAAGGTGGTTCGGTGGTTAGCATCGTTGCCTCGCAGCAAGAAGGTCACCGGTTTACATCCCGGTGAGGACACCCGGGATCTTTCTGCGTGGAGTCTCCATGTTCTCCCCGTGCAGCGTGGGTTCTCTCCGGGTTCTCCGGCTTCCTCCCATACAGTCCAGAAACATGTTGAGGTTAATTGGTGATTCTAAATTGTCCGTAGGTGTGAATGTGAGTGTGCTTGGTTGTCTGTCTCTAAGTGTAGCCCTGTGATAGACTGGCGACCTGTCCAGGGTGTCCCCTGCCTTCACCCTGAGTCAGCTGGGATAGACTCCAGCCCCCCATCAGCCTCGTGAGGATTAAGTGGTGTATAGATAATGGATGGATGGATGGATCTTCAACTGTGTGGTCTATGAATGCTGAAGTGCTTATGTAAAACTAGGCTGTGTGTTACTTTACAACATTTAGCATTTAGGAGAATCAATTGTTAGTTAGCAAGGTCAGAACATAAAATTTAATCCTCCTAGTCTGCTAACTTAAGCACTGATTCTCACTAGACGATACCTTTTGGCCATGTTTGACATCTGCTGAGTCAGCAGCTCTCACTCTCAGTGCTGTTTTTTTCCCACATTGCACAAAGAAAGATGGTCCAGCTAGTATTTGGCATCTCAGTACAGTTGCCCTGATGGCAATACTGTCAAAACTAAGAGAAACGCTCAACACTTTACATGTAGAAACATATGCAGTGTTAAAATAATGTATTTGCACTTAGCAAAGTTGACCCACCTGCCAATAGGGCTGCTCCCTGAAAACTGAAATCCTCAGTCACAGCTTTTTGAACCTGTTGCTGCTTTACCTCCAACTGTGGACCAATGCATGTTTTGATAACTATGATCAACAAAGGAACTAGCACATGGTTTCTATACGTAAAACATGAAACTAATGTAGGCACATTGAAGGAAGAACCAACATCAGTGTTTTAATAAGCTATTAGGTCACCACATGCCTTTAGAACAGCTTCAGAGCACTTTGGCACTGATTCTCAAGTCTTAGTAACTTGGAAGGATGAACATCGTTCTCCCAAGAGGTATTCCCTCATTCGGTGCTTTGATGGTGGTGGTGGAGAAACGCTTTGGTCCAGAATCTCCCATTGGTGCTGAGATTGGTGTTGGGTGGAGGTTTGGTGACTGTTAAGGCCGTAGCATATGATTCACAACATTTTCGTGCTCTCATCAGGATAGAAATGTTCCTTTATAAGATAAAGGTGATCACTCAGCACTACTTTGCATACAGAGGTCCTTCCCTCTACGGGGCCCAAACCATGCCAGCAAAATAGCATATCAGAGCTGCTGATTGTAGGATCAAAGGTTCAGGTTTTTCCTTTAATTTGTCACCTGTCTGTGTCTCTGTGGGTGTGCTGACCTAACACTAACAGAGCAGCAGAGTAAATGATGTATATTCACACTAGAACAGGCCTATAGACGTTTAAAAAGCGTGACCTGAGCAAGCATTAACCGCAAGCATTTGGCAAATAAACACACTTGAGATGAACTGTGAGTCACGTGCACAGAGACGTCGGCGATGTGTCCACAGGCGCTGCAATTTCACTCCTTGTGCGAGATGATGGGGTAACGTGAGGATTTTGGGATCCGGCCAGTAATCGCTGCGTTAGACTGACTTTAATCAGTCAGAAAGTCCCTGAGGTGAGTTATTATCTATATTATCCACATTATCTGACATTTGACATGATGCACACACGGTGATGTCATCGGTGTACTATAGCAGCGAGCACCGTGGGCGTGCCTCGTGAGTCACTCTCACCGTCTGAATGGGAGTGAATAGAATTCCTCCTTGTATTAGCGGAGAACTGGCCTCTGGGTCTGCGGCTGATAAAGCTCAGGTATGTGACTGAAGTCAGTGACCTTGAAAGCTGAGCAGCCCACACTTTGTGGTAAACGTGGGCCTGCGTCCTGTGTGTACAGCAGCCAGCAGCGAGAGGTGGTGGTCCGTTGCAGGACAGATAGCTGCAGGGCCGAACAGCTCAGTCTTTGTCCGATTCCTGTCCTGGTGGGAAACCGATACAGCAGAATCTTTTACCAGAGGCCTGAAGTTCACTCACCTATTGTTTATCGTGCAAGTCTGGAGGGCAAAAAACCATAATTTACTCATCGTGATTTTGCTGCTGTTCAAATGTACGAGGAGAAGGTGACAAATGGCAGCAAAGACAATGAAAAGAACTGTTGAACAGGACATGGACATGGTTTTCCTTCAAGCAAGAGCGAAGGAAGCCGCATCACATGTCTGCAGCAGAACTACTGGCAGCAACCACCTGACACATTCAACTTTAAGACTCTCACATGTGTGTTTTAGGGATGAGTCAGTCGCGATCAATGTTTTGACTGGCTTTTTGCAACGTGCCCGGGTCAGCACCTGTTCTTATTATTCATGGAATAATAGGTAACTGTTTAACGCCAACGCCGTTCCCCCGTTGACGTCTTACAGCTCAAGTCGTGGCAGCTCTCGCAGGCAGCAGAGAAGCAGTGCGTCAGCGAGGCAGAAACAAGACTGCAGCAGTGTTTGGATTCGCTTTAATCAGACATGATGATAGAAGACGAGCACCGAAGTCAAAAAGCAAACAAATCTGATGTCATTCTTCCGCTGCTGTTTCTGTTCAATAAGTCGATGTCAGTTAAACAGAGGAGACAGTGTGCCGTCTTTTCATAAAGCTGTCACAGGACCATAACTTTCCCCCCAAGACGAATTGTCAGTGCTAAGTGAGTCTGTAGATTCTCCACCTCCAGCTTGTATTTCACATGTTTATGCCAGAGGATGTATGGCTGGGAAAAACTCCAACATCAGCCTCAAGCGTTAGCAGCTTGCACAGCTCCTCTGACTTCCAGTAATGCAGCTACATCTTAACTCGCTACGGCTTAAAAACAAAACTCTTATCTTTTCCTGCTCTTGCGGAATCGCTCTGACACACTGTGTTTACCAGCTTTCCACCAAGCCTAACACTGTTGTTCCTGTCCCGCTGATAACCGGTGGAAGGAGGAGGATACTCTCCAGGAGCGCCTCCGTCACGTTGCTGTTTTCTTTGGGCGGCTTTCCTGTAATCGCAGCAATTTTCTCCCAAAACCAGTTTGGTCTGCGCCGGGCAGCTGAGGCCCTTTGAACGAGCAGAAGCGAAGGAGCTTGACTGGCAGGTAGCGAGCAGACAGACGGTCGGACAGGAAAGCACACATCAGTCACCCACAGACACCCTTGGCCTCCCCACTATTGAGGGCACCTGAGGTCAACCACTTTTAAAGAGTTGTAGCATTTTGTCACAGCAGTAAAAAATCGCTCCTTCTGTCCTCGCTCTCTGTTTTTCTCTCCTTTCTGTTGGAAAGTCTTGTGGCTCTCATCTCCAGGACGGCTGGTATTAGTTAAAGGCATTTCTGACCATTAATACTGCAGCCAGTGGGGCACTTTTTATTGCCTCATTCGGACTGAAAATACTGAAGCACCTCTAACTGACCAGTGAGTGTTTTCTGCCATGACTCACTTGTGTTTGTAAGAAAATGTATGTTTCAGATGCCTTTCAGAGCAAATAATTGTTTGTTAGCTCTACTTATTAAAGCAAGATAAACATGGAAGGGAAGCTAAGTGTATCCAAACAGACACCAACAGTTAACAAGCATGTGGGATCTTTTCTTGTCCCGCCGTGCCGTTTAGAGGTGAAGGTCAAGTCCACAGGCACATGGCCACGTCTTGCTACATGCATGTCAAAAGGCATTGAAGGCTGCAGGGGGGCGCCGTGGTTGGAATGCGTCAGCGGTGTCTTCGGTCTCGTGTCCACTCACAGAAGACGATACGATCCGGGTAATTGCGAGGGTCATCGCAGGGGTCGTAAATAAGTAACACGGCCCAAACGGCCGTGACCTAGAGGGGAGTCGATACATTCTGGAGGACTTTGAACGTGGACAGGATTGCCTGGTTGGAGATATCTATCAGCAACTGGGTCCTGGCGAGAGAGGGCCGGACGGTTTCAGAGGGTGGTCTGGTCGACAGATGATCGATGACGAGTATTCGCTCCAGCTAGAGGGGATAGATGAGACACAGGAATGTGATTTTGTCTGGAGTGACTCAGCGGGAAGACGATGAGGTGAAAACAACTGCGTGGACATATTTTCTCAGGACGGAGTGCCTGGTGATGGGTCACACTGTGCTGTGGTTTCCTAATACCCATATTTTAATTCAGGTTGGGGTTATTTTTCTATCCGTGCATCTCAAAGCCGCCGTCTCAAAGTTTGCCAGCAATGCGAGGTTGTAATACGTCAGGATTATGTTCCTAAATGGCAAAAAAAACAACGAAAAATATGCAATTAATGCAGCCTGAAGACTTGGATCGGCATTTTAGGTCAGAATAAGTAGATCGGGACATCCTTACTTTATGGCCAGGGACATTCTGTTCAGTGTGAGATGACGGCTACAAACACGAGTGCACATGCTGAGAGTATGATGACAACGATTACCGTTCAACTCAGAGATTTAACATTTGGCTCCCCTGGACGCGTTTTTTTGGCGTCCTGCTCGTGTCATGAAGGCAACGGGTTGATATTGTTGGAACAAATTGACTGTTGAGTTGCAGCTGTCCAAACAAAGAACAGCGTTCTCTCACCGAGAGATGGCAACTGTCTGCGATGCACTCGCGCATAGGTAAATTAGTCGGCCTCGCCTCGTCGTCACGACAGAGGAATTACAAGTCAGCCGGTTCATTTAAAAATCAGAAACGATGGTTGCAGTTGCCAGATGACACATCACTCCCAGGAATAGATAGTGACAGTTATTTAACTTTAAAGACTTTTTTCCTAACCTAGTTTAAGGAGGTTGGCTTCCATCCCTGGACTCACATGCGGCCTGCAATGAGTCTGACTTATCTGTAGAAAAACAACGCTCGCATCCAACTGGAAGTGTTTTTTCAGACAGCTTCCAACTAAGCACAGGGCACGACCGCCGCAGCGCAGCGTGTTGTTATGAAGTGCCACCGTTGTGCAGGTCGTTCATTAGTGCAACACATCGTCTGGATTTGCTAAAAGCCGACTTTGAAGTCCAGTGAAGGATGTTCGTAATGGGAAAAAAATTAGGGAGGACATTAGGAAGATGATATTCTGTCGTCACTTTTTTAATATTAGCCACATGTGAACTCAATATGGTGACAGCCAGACACACACACACACATATATTCTGGGTTGTATTTCTGCATGAAATCCCCCTTAAAGTCTTAAACGGCACATTTATCAATGAAATTATAAGTATTTTTGTGTTTTCTTGTAGGACGGGTCACCAGATCTTACCGAGGAGCAGCTACTTAGCCTGCTGGATGAATGTGAGCTGACAGGGAGATGGAGCCACGACCTGGAGACGAATGACGCAGCACCATGAGACGATCACAAAGATTGGACTCTATCTGACGGCCTGCTTTCAAACTGCATTACGTCTGGGATCCTGCTATGAATTCTTGTAGAGAAGCTGCTTTTAGGATTTATGAAGATGATATAATGACCCCGTCGTTTATACACTGATATAAACATTTTTCATAATGTGACAATAGCAGAAATTTGTAGTTTTAAATGTTGGCTAACTGAAGAGGAGAACCTCCATTTTAATTGGTGTCAATATTTTCAGCATGCAGCTGGATTGCAACCCGTTGCTTTTATTTGTGTTTGTGTCTCTGCATGAGGAAACAGAGCAGCAGGAGCGCTCTTTGTATTAACCTAAGTATCATACATGAGAACAGAAAATTGCTGTCATTAAATCTAATAACTGGGTACGGCTGCCGCAGAATGTTCTCCTGCACACAAAAACATTAGCCGGTAGTGGCGGCGTCCGTGGGGTGAAGCCGGAGCGCTGCCGTGTATTAAAGTTAAGGCCCTCTCCTATGAAACGTCGCATGTATGTGTTGGTAATGTGTGTCCAGATGTCCGACATGGCTGCTAATGAGGACAGAGGGGTGACGTGGAGTGATCGTCCAGCTCCGAGCATTCCTGCCTCTATAGGTGAGCTGCTCCAGAGTGGGTCAGATTAGTGGGATCTTCTGAAACGGAGACCCTGTGTGACCTCTTTTTAAGCTTAATTTTCATTTAAATAAGAGGATTTCACTGACAAAAGGATGCCAGCTTTGAGAATGTCCTTTTGGCCAGTTGGAGAGATTTGTGAAAGCCGTTGACGCGGTTCCGAGTTGCGGCAGCTTGCACGGCGCGAGCGGCCCGTCTGCACCTGGCTGACCTCAGCCCAGAGGCCTCGCCTTTCCTCTCTCCCGGCACAGGACACCTACGGGCCCGTTCGTCTCACTCTTCACCTCAGCCACCCGTCGTGACCCCGTCTAAGCGGCAGGAATCATCTCACATTCCTCTGGACTGAAAACACGTTGGCCAGGTGAACCTCCGAGGTCAAATCCTGTCGAGACCGAAACGGATGCCCCGGCACAGGTCTGAGAGAGCAAACACTTTTCAGACTGGCTGCTCTAGATTTGACTTTTACCACATTTTATAACAATTCCATAGATGCTTTTGCATATGCAGCATTTTTGTCTGTTTTCCCCAAATACCATGCATGTAACTGACACAATATATTTTCAGCAGAGGAGATATACCGCTCATTTGGGGTAATGGAAACACAGTGAGCTCATTATGGTAAGAATGAGGTCACTTCTAATGTAAAGAGACCTGCGGCATACTGAGACTGTCTGGCTTCTCTGGCACCGGTGCCTTAGATTACAACTCTTTCTGACCCCGTGAAAGATTTAAGTTAGCAGTCTGGTGCGGATGATATATACTGGCGCGGGGTCTTAAAGCATAAGTCAGTGAGCCGTCCACGGGTAGGTACTTATCTATTTTGACAAGTTATATTTAGACGGTTTTATGAAAACTATGGAATTTCAACGCACATTCCTGTAGTCCCGGGTGGACCACATGCACAGCTTAAGTTCACTTCCCCAAAAGTTTGTGAATTTATTACTCTGGAGTGCAAAATTCCTTATGTCCACCGCTCACGTGGACCGCTGCCGTTTGAAGGTGTAAGCAGACGCCCGTGTAACGTGTAATCAGATCTGTATGGATGTGCCGCTTCAGTGGGTTATACTTCATGTTGAGTTTTCCTGCTGTTGACTCCCGAGGATCCTCCCTTTCTCTAAGGCTTCACTAGACTCAACTAATAGATTCCAGTCGCTTGACACAGCATGGCTTGGCTCGCTTTGCTTTTCCAGGGAGAAGGGCTTAATCAAAGTAGATATGAAGTTCGAAAATCACCAAGAGAGAAGCTTCGAATGTTTAACTGGCCAGAAAGAAAAGAAACCAAGAGTTTTGTTTTTTTTTCTTGAAGAGTTTATTGTTCATTTGACAATACAAAATAACAGATAGGAGTATAAACAGCACTTTGGGTAGAAACTATGGTACAAATGTTTATAGAAAAAGCTTCACTAATAATTAAAAAAAAAGACGACACGTACAAAAAAGAGAAAAAAACAAAACAAAGACATCCTCGTGTCAGTGTGCAAATAAGTTTATACAGACAGAAACGCTTCCATATGAGGCTACGCTTCTAGATAAATTATTTAAATAGCATATATCTACACAAATGAAATAACCTCGACACGACACAGACATAATAACTTATCAAAACTGCACAGGAAATACAAATCGCAATACACAGTCAAGACAACATTTCTTTAATCCTTTCCTGTTCGGGCTTCTTTTGCTACAAAAATATCTTATATACAGAATATAAATGATACTAAAGTCTTGCTTAAAAAAAAAAAAAGAAGCCAACCAATTTACACTCTGTTGCTAAGACAAGTGATTCTTGTGTATTGCTGTCCTCAATACAAAAAGAATTAATGAGGTAATATTTGTACATAAAGGGTTTTTTTTTTTCTTTCTTTTTTTTTTTCCCTTGTCAGAAATGTACACACAAGCTCAGGCACACCAGTCATGCACACTGTGCAGAAGCAGGATATTCAGATAGTGTAATAAGTGATGCCTATCTTTAACATTTTACTGTTTTTTGGTCAGAAGCAATTCTATATCTTTAGAGGATTGATTGATTGATTACTCTCAATTGGAATTGGGTTGCTGATAACAGTTTAAAATATGCAGAGATGAGCGAGAGTGAAAGCTTCTATAGTGAATAAGTAAATACAAACAGCCATACTTGCAATAATCTGAGGAAATAGACTGGCCCTCACTGTTTATGTCCCTTGACACATTCAATAAAGATTAGAGATATGAACATAATATTTGCTATTATTATTATTACTGTTCCAAAGCAGTGTGTAGTGTGCCTGCTTCGGGGCCCTGTGCTGTCCTGAATTTTGTGCTCCTTGTTTCTTCTAGTGCTCTTTCCTGAGAAGACTAATGTTTTGGGCCAGCCCTAAGCCTCGGCTAAATACAAGACCTCCTCGTGTACACGTCTGTAAGAGCGGCGTGAGGGGTCGTCGGAAGAATTGAAATCCAATTTTGTCTTCGTAACTATGCTTACTGGGTGGCACACGTGCACAAACACACAAACAACATTCACTCTCTTTGATAGTAACAGTCGGTCCATACTGTCCACGGTCCCTCAACAGTTCCTTCAAAGGGTGTTTTTTTTTTCACCCCGGCCTAAAGAAAGTTCTCCTACTGCTTTCTTCATACTGAAACAAGTATCTTTGAGTCCACAGCAGATGTATGTTATTGCTCAAAACAATACTTTTTTTTTTTTTTTAAACACTCTTCCCTTTGGTCCTTCCTCCTCCACAGAGGAATACCGCCAACAGTTCAGGTGTGCAAAGCGATCAAATGTGGCCCTCGTTCAATGCAAGATCAGAGCAAACAGAGTGAGAGAGCCAATTTCTTCTGAGCAGAGCTGTGCTCGCAATTTGAGTTTGGTGCAGATTTATCATTGAACTTTCGTTTGGCTTTAACTCCTGAGGTCACTTCACCTCACGTTAGCTCACTTGCTCGACATACCTCTGATGTGCATCTCTCTAAGGAAATAGTTAAATAGAAATCGATCCAGGTCTTGTGTTAAAGATTCGTACTGATACATTCTTCTGGAAGACTCTGTGGTCCGATTATGAATCTGAAAGAAAGTACAGACAGAAAACATGTTACTAATGAAGCCTAAAGTGATGGAAAGTGTTGTTTTAAAGTGTCTAATCATCACTTATGTGCTTACCTCTGCATTCGTATTTGAGGTCTGAGAAGTAAACCATCTCCTGAGAGAAGACGTACAAGCCTAGTCGCCCACCAGCATACGTCTTGTCATAGATGTTTCCAGAATCAGCCATGATTCTCTTGCCTTCATACATGACCACTCTAAAGAAAAGAAAAATAGAATCACATGAGCTCATTGCTGTTTGAAAATGAATTATGCAGGGTTGCATTTAAATAAGAGAGCACAGATCTGGGGTTTTGAACTCACCTAATAAGTCCACTCTTGGGTCTGTGGGTCAGGTGCCATCTGTAGGCAGTGAAGTCCTTCCAGCCGATGTTCTTGGGGTCGTGCCACAGAGTGCGGACCTGAAAATGATGAACGCCAACGGTTAAAATGAGAAAATGACTTTCTTAAATCACTGTCTTAAATCCTGAGTCATCTCTTCTGTTCTCACCTGTCCTGGGGTGTCTCCAGTGTGCCATAGGGCGTTCCTCAGGTGCTCGCCGGGCCCAGTGGTGGAGTTGACCACTTTGATTGACAAGCCAGAGTAGCCTTGAGCTCTTGTGGGTTGGTGGGACCAGTAGGTCTGCGTGATCTGTTTCCACATCACTGTGTAGAAGCGGGAGCTGGACTGGTAGCCAAACACGAAGCCGGCGTAGTCGTCATCTCTGTCGGTGTTGATGAAGAACGTTCCACTGAAGTCCACTGCGCTGAACTCATCGTAACCTGAAGCAAACCACAATATCATTTAGAATCACTTCACTGCCTTGGTGTCCATGAACTCGCAGCAAGATGTCTGTCCGTGTGTTACGTACCGACAGCAATGCCAGGGTCACAGTTGACAGTCTGCACCAACTCCTTGCCCTGATGCCGGACCACCCAGTTGGGGTCAATCTGAGAGGTGCCCTTGGGATCCAGAGGAACCATCTGGAATCTGCGGAAGTCGGTTTCGCTGATGGCAAAGTTCTCCGGGCAAACATCAAAGATGTCCAAAACATTGTCTTGGTCAAAATCGAACTTGCACACATCACCACGGCCATTACCTGGGAGGAAAAGATGCACATGGAAATAGTAAAGATGGCTGCTGTGAACAAGGTGTCATTCAATGATGCCCATTGGAGGAATGGCAGCAGAGTTCTGTGGGATCACAGTGACAGTCAGACTCACCATCAGAGTCCACTTGATCGGGGTTATAAACCAGTCTGCAGTTGTCTTTGTCATCAGGAATGCCGTCATTGTCGTCATCATGGTCACAGGCGTCACCCTTGCCGTCCTTGTCGTGGTCGGCCTGGTTGGCGTTGGAAACGTAGGGGCAGTTGTCCAAATTGTTCTGGTGACCGTCCTCGTCAATGTCCTGGTTGTTGTCGCACTTGTCTCCAATGCGATCCGAGTCAGAGTCGATCTGTGAAAGAGCAGAATTCCTTCAGGATGAGATTTTCCAAAGAGCGACATGCACACTGTGAGACGCTTGTCCTCACTTCAAACAACTGCCTCCACTGTTTTTCACCAGCTTCGATATGAGAGGTGCTACTCTGGATGTGATTTAAATGCAGCCCCTTGTTTTCAGGTATGCTAGCAATGTCCTTCCAGACAAATGTCCAGTGTCTTTGCA